TAAACAAAGAAGTGTATCGGATAACAGAACCTACATCACTTGAGGTCTTTCAACAGCAGTAACAACTAAAATGGATAGCTGACAGCTCGGTCAATATATGCCGAATTTTTTTCTTATAAGGAATTGGCTAATATTACTATTACATTTAGTACCATCACAAACTAATTGAACTTGATCTGTATCACTATGATTGCCATTGTGGGTTCTGCACAGAATCACATGTTGTTCCCCCTGTTCATCTGGTCAGCTTTCAAGAAACTGGTAATTTTTTACCACTATTTGTGACAGACAGTGCCACAAGTATTGCATACCATTTTTATCTCTTGTACCGGATTGGAAGCTGGTATGTTAATGCTCTTGATAAGTCTGAAAGAGAAATGATAATGTTAAAAATTTGATAGATGCTATGTAACATTATATTAGGTCATTTTCCATTTATGGCTTGCTAAATATCTTCTCAACTACCTGCTTTTTTTCCCCTGGTGCCTGAACTACAGGTGTTTAAACATGCTACTAGATTGATATCTTGGTTCCACCCTTTTACTGTTGACTTAGGTAAATGTAACTGCCACTTCTACTCCAACAGTTTCTTTTCTTGCACTTCCTACCTGTGGAACTCCCTGTCGTTTCCTTGCTTTCCTGATAACTACAATCTTCAAAAATTTAAATGCAACATCAATTGCCATCTATCTTCTTGAACCCTGTTCAGCTTTTATCCTTTCTTGCAACCCCCCACCAGTCTTTTCTCTCACCTTCACTTTCTCTAACCCCTGTGTACTACTGCCTTGCTTGGGGGTGAAATTAAAACAATAGAACACCTATCTACAGTAACATTGACCCAGACGTCCTGCAGGAAGAAGTTGAGGGTGGTTTAACATGGCTTTTGTTGCTCACGACATCCAGAACCATTGCAGGGAGGAAGAAGTTGGTATGCATCACCATTGATATTTCTGTGGCTTCTGCACAGAACCACATGTTTCTCATGTTCATCTGGCCATTTTCCAGAAGTTGGCTATCTTTAAGTCACTATTTGTGACAGATGGTGCTTCTTTGTGTCAGATTGGAAGCTGGTATGTTAATGTTCTTGATAAGTCGCGCGCGCACACACACACAAAACCATTCTAGTTCCACCTCTTTTTCTGAAATATGACTGAAACTCGGAATCAGATTTTTGAAAGGTTTCTTGCTCTAGCTAGGAATTTTTCTGTACTCATCATTATTACTTTCATATGTTTTATTAGTAGGACAAAGTTTTTTTCTTCTAATATATATATATATATATATATATATATATATATATATATATATATATATATATATATATTCTAGAAAGAGAAAGTCTGTTATTAAAATATTTAAAAGGTGCAAATCATAAACAGATTGGTACATTTTTGCTTTCTTATTTTTCCCCTGATAGAGAAATAATAATGTTAAAATACATGCTACATAACATTATGCTGGGTCATTTTCCATTTAGGGCCTGCTAAATATGCTCTCAAATTCCTGTCGCAACCTGCTTACGAGCAGGTGTTGAAACTTCCTCGACCCGTCCCAGAACCTCTTCACCAAAACATATGTTGTTTAATCAGTTGATCAGATTTTGGGAAGTGGTTTTCAGTCAACCCTGTATAACGCTTTCACTCTTTATATATATATATATATATATATATATATATATATATATATATATATATATATATATATATAGATAGATAGATAGATAGATAGATAGATATAGTGGAAAATATATACATATGCAAAATATATAAATACGTATACATGTATATTTTCAGAAAAAAAATTCCAAGAGGAAGAATCCAGGTAGAACTCAATGTCTAGGACAGAGTAAGGATATAATAAAAAGACTTAAACACTAATATTCCATGGTCATAATTTATTCCATTAGAATCGTAAATACGATCCAATTCATCAGACCTACAAATTCAAAATGAAAACAGAAAAAACCCACTCCGGAAGTGGAAACAGAATTTAGAGAAAGTGTAAATATGAGGAGGAGGGAGATTGAACCTTAACAGAGAGAATTTTAGCTAGCATTAAATTGTCTATGGTGTGTGTATGTCACCACGAAATGTATCTTTATGCATTAGACATCCGTCGACATCCATTCTCTTCTCTTATTTAAAACCCTTCCCCCCACATCTCCTAAAATTCTCTCTGTTAAGGTTCAATCTCCCTCCTCCTCATATTTACACTTTCTCTAAATTCTGTTTTCACTTCCGGAGTGGGTTTTTTCTGTTTTCATTTTGAATTTGTAGGTCTGATGAATTGGATCGTATTTACGATTCCAATGGAATAAATTATGACCATGGAATATTAGTGTTTAAGCCTTTTTATTATTATTATTATATATATATATATATATATATATATATATATATATATATATATATATTCCTATTCCTATGTAACTTGACTAGGTATAACTGTGTGGTCTGGAAAGCATTGGGAAAATGGAAGATCAAAACTACCGATTTAAGTGGAAACATGCTATCATCGGTAAAATGGAAGTGGATGCAGTTGTCAGATTCGTTGAAATCACGTTGATACAAATGTAGACATTAATGTTTTTAAGGGTCATCTGGGTGAAAGCAAGAAAGGAAGAAAATAAAAAAAAATAAAACATCTGTTTTCTGTAGAGGCTAAGTTCCTCTCACTTTGTTCTCGGAGTACGTGTCATAGCCTTTTTGTTAAAAGAAAAAAGAAAAAAAAATGCGTGTTTCGTTCACTCGTCATGTCCGTATAAACTTTGTTGGCTTAATTTCCAACCAGCCAGTGTCTATTTACGTTGATTTTTAAGCGAGTCACACCCTCTGCTTATTGTGATTCGCGCCTAAAGTGGAGATTGATGTGTGCAAACCTGATTGCTTAATGCCAGATCTCTTTGGTCCGTTAGTGAAGAAGAAGCAGGCAGCAGTTCCAACCAATTTCTATTGCCCTTTGCTATGGAAAGATTAAAGGCGTTTTCATCTTCAAAAAGAAACAAGAAAAAAGTACGAGATATACGTCACTGTGTCTTATCTAAACAAGTGAGACTTGCAGAATCAGGAAAATATGACAAAGAACATGGACTCTTATAACGACCCTTCTTTGTGACTGCTTCCCAAGCTTCCTACGTGAACAAAACTCTCTGAACCTGTCAAAATAACCAAGACGAGACTAAAGCAATCGGTACACACCTCTTCATTTTATCTTGAAACGTTTCGTCCTTTGCGTTTTCCATTTTGATCGACGTTTTCAGGTTCTGTAACTCTTTCTCAATATTCTGTTTCTCGCTCTAGGAAATAGAAAATTTGAAAATCATTTCAAACATTTAATCAACAGAAATAAGAAAAAACGCTGGAAATAAAGTAAAGACTGTGTTGTATTTTTTCTGTTATGATACAAAATTTCAAATCAGCTTCAGAATGAATTGTTGAGATGATGTGTTTTATTTTTACTATTCATTGATTCTTTTAGACTTGCATTTTCATCGTTATTATGTTTTCAAATACCATTCCAATTGAATCCTCGAATAATCACATCTCTAATGAATTAAACGGTATGTAGGGATGACATATATATATATATATATATATATATATATATATATATATATATATATATATATATATATATAGTCATCCATAGACAGACTGTTTTGCTGTATCACGTCCGGCTGCTTCTAGCTAGGATCAAAACCCGACTGAATTGGCATTGGATTCTACCACTAAGCCGGCGCACGGCAGGGATGAAGATGAATTTAAGCGCATTTATTTTTAGATAAACAAGATTAATGCTGGACAAACGTACTTATAAATTTTAGATTAAAATAAATTTCTCTTTCATTTAAAATCTGGCAAGATTAATACTGGACAAACGTACTTATAAATTTTAGATTAAAATAAAATTCTTTTTCATTTAAATTCTGGCAAGATTAATGCTGGAGAAAAACGTATATATATATATATATATATATATATATATATATATATATATATATATATAGGAAAGAGATTATAGTTGTTCCAACGAGAGAAAAGTGTATATTTTAAAAAGATAAACCGCAAACGTTTTGGGTTGAAATGTGGATTTTTTATTTTAAAATGTATATTATACTCTATTTTCCATAATTCTGCTACACGTGTTTCTGGTTTCGTGACCTTCTTCAAGCAACGAGTAGATATTTTCACAAATTATAAAAATGATTTTTTGCGTGGTAGTAATTCAAATGTCTTTCTTGGAAATTATATTTTAACAAATTGTAAATCTTTTTCTTTATTTTACGTTATTTCTATTGTAATTTAGCAAGATAAGATGGGTCGTGTATTAATCGGGTGGGAACAACAGATTCCAGCACTTTCAATGCATCTTCGTTTAAGTAAAATTATATTCTATTATTCTTTTTTATTAAAAAGGCATTTTCCAGATGAAAATTGGGATCTCCAAACTTTCAGTGGCGTCCAAGTGGGTCGTTTAATTTGAAATGCCTTTTATATTCATTTTTTTTTTTTCTTTAAATCTTTTTGCCGATTTACTTCTGGAGCCATTGCTTGCAATCTTTTTTTTTATACTACAGTTCACCTAATACAAGGCTAAAGAGCCACTCATGGTAGAGGGTTACTGAATGAGATGTGTCATATGAATGTAAAACGAGCTAAAAGGAAGTAAAGACTGTGAAGATAAGTAGGAAAGCAACAGACTTCGTTTAAAGAGGCTAAGATTTTTCATTCATTCATTGATTTGTTTTCTACGGATTATCAACCCTTTGCAGGTTATTTAAAGCCAGAAAATATGTTTAAATTTTAAGAATTATTTTTGGTGATGATAATGGTTTAGTGATACAAGTCCTTACTAATTAACCCATAGCTAGGGGAGAAGAGATTGCTTCATACCTTCCCATGGGTATTTACGCGTATGTGAGTATAACGAACGAATTACAACTCGGCTCTCCGATTAACGATTCCGTCCCATTATCCATTATGCTACCCGCCCATCCAAACTTACAATACTTGGTATTCCCAGGTGGTCACCCATCTAGGTACTGACCGGGCTCGATGTTGCTTTAACTTCGGTCATCATACGAGAACCAGTGTTTCAACGCGACGTGTCCTTAAGGAAGCTTGTTCATGGAAGGATCCACAAGGGATTGTTTTTTCTCAGAATAGCAGTTCTCGGGGGAAAGCTGCGTGGAACTTCCTCCTTACGAATGGGGGAAATGTGGCTGGTTCGACTCCGTGGCAAGTCTGCGATGTAAAGGCCTGAACTTGTGTAAGTAAATAGTGGAGCTTATTGGAACATTTGAAATTGTGTTTTGATTTTATTTTTATTTTTTTTTTATTTATTATTTTTTGTGGGCCCTTGTTTCTGATATTCGCTCTTTGTTTTAAATTGATTAAATTAACTGTTTTTGAAGTATTTACGATCATTTCTAGATTGAGATTAACTATAATAATTCAAAACTCGTAATTGTATTTCCGTTGCTCTGTCAGCAATTTTGCATGTTAAAATCTCTGCAAATGAAAACCTTTAACTGAAAACATGAATTTTATATTTGTGGGATTTTTTAACATCAGGATTTAAAAAAAAAGTTTTTACAGTTTCTGATTAAAATTGATAAATTGCGTTTGTATAGATAGTAATGCCTACTTACTTTGGTAAAGTTGAGTCATTGTCCCAACTGTGTCGACTCTGCCTTTAGAACAAGACTTTTAGTTGTACTTACATAGAGGCTAATGGAAACTGTTTTAATCAAATTTACACCCAAGTAAGGCATTAAAGCCACTAAGACACAAGGGGGGGAGGTTACTGGCTGTGGAAGAATTACAAAACAGAAACACCACTAAGGATCGAATACAGAAGAAAAGTAATCAAGCAGACAGTAGAAAGCAATTGGCACTGCATTTAAATTTTTGAAGTTTAAAGTTCGCTGGAAATCACGAAGCGAGAAGAGAGTTCCACAAGTGAAAAGAGCAAGAGAAGAAACTGTCAGTATAGAACTTACGGTTCCATCTAGCTAACTCAAATGATACATCGTTGCTAGTCTAGTACTGCGTTTAAATTCAAGAACTCTGGGTACCATAGCAAAGAGTGATATTTATTTCCGCTTCAAATTCAGAAAATGTAGCACAAGGCCAAAAATGGGGAATGAGGAAAAGGAGTCTTCTTTTGTCTTAAATTTTAACATAGCTAGCCACAAACACTGACCCAAACATTGCACAATATTCCTAACACCAAAACAATACATTCTTACTTACCATAGCGAAGAGCTCATCCGAGCAATTACCGTGAAAGTATTTATAGAAAAGGCAAAGGGAGGCAACCTTACAGCGGTGGGAAAGTGACAAATGCCAAGCCACCAGATCAGAACCAATAATATTGCTGATTCTTTGGATTTTATCAAAGATCTCTAGATATATAGCAGAAGCAGCGGACCATATGTGGCAGACTTCAATTACCAGATTGTCCTAAACAATTTATGTGCAAATATTAGCTTAGTACAAGATAAAAAAAAGATATGGGAAGATTATGTTCCGTCAAAATTTATTTATGTTTGTAATTGAATGACACAATGGAAAAGAAACTCGACGTTACGCGTTTCGAAGAACCGAACGTGTAGCGTAGGTTTTTTTTTAATTTTGTCACTCATTTCCCCACCATTACTCCCGACATACAGATTCTTATAGTGATTTTCCAAAAGTAGGTTAAATGTGGCACAAGGCCGAAATTAGGGGGCACCCAGTGAGAAAGTGATTTTCCAAGCGTAGCTTAGATATGGCACAAGGCCGAAAGTAGGGGGCACCCAGTGAGGATCGAACGAACTACTCAGTTGTAATTGTTCTAGCGAGACCAGCTTGCTAACCATTACACCGCCTAGAGGTGCCCAATACAGATTCTTATAACCTTTATGTGTGTGTGTGTGTGTGTGTGTGTGTGTGTGTGTGTGTGTTGATACGCATGTAAAAAATCACACATACATGAACATAATCATAAACATACTAACTTGATTCTTTCTCATACATTGCTCGTGTTTTTCCATTAAGCTGTTGATTTGCTGTTTTTTTCTTTCCAGCTCCTGCAATTTTGTGCTGTATTTTTTTGTCATTTCAAGTCTTAACGAAAAGAAAAGAAAAGAAAAGATGTCATCAAAAAAAAAAATGCCAAAGCGAAAAAGACATAAAAAATTATTAAGTAAAAATCGCCAAAAGAACATCTTTTTTAAAAAAAAACAAAAAAAAAAAATCATTTAATTTAACCAAGAAAAGAAAAGCTCTGTTATCGTCATTTCATAGTAGGTCTGTGTAATAACTTCCAGACCAACATATGTAAACCTTTTTTAATGAAGTCATTCTCATCATAAAAACAAAAATACTAAAGTGCTTCTTTTATTATTATTATTATTATTATTATTATTATTATTATTATTATTAACTGAGTGAGAGAGAGCAGCACGCCAACAAAGTAACGTTAGGCTACAAATATAGGAAGCACAATGTACCCATCATGACACCCTGTCGGATAAGGGTATACCAGGCACATGCATCACAGCCAAATGTACGCGATATGGTGAGAGGTTTTGATAAAAGTAGCGCCTCACCTTACGGGTGGCGCCCATTTAGAAATACCTTTACGTCAGGTAAGGCAGTCAGCTAAGCCGGTCTCCGAATGAGAATGTTATCGAGTATTCAGACGTTGCTCCCAAGTCGCCTAAACTTCCTCATCGTTCAAACTTAAAAATTAAATCCTTCGACATCCAGCCATAATCCTCCTCCACTTCTCCCGATCAGAAACAAAGATGCACAACGCGTCAGCAACTAGGAGAGATGCGCATTGCATCAGCAGTTAGGAGAGAGGCACATTGCATCAGCAGCTAGGAGACAAGCCCAACTTGTTCAAGTCAGACAAGTGGCACGCAAATCTATGGTACTGAATGGGATTTTTACTGTAGTCCATATTCATTCACCAACTAAATGTTAACCCCACCTATCAATTAATATAAAAAGCCATGAGAGCCAACTTCTTTTTCACCAGCTGATCTTAAGCTGTAATTTAACGATCAACAGTGAGTCATAACATGACTATGGATCCTAGCATTTCTTCACTTCTGCACATTAACAAAACCTTTCTCTGAATTTTTTCTGACCCAAGCAGTGTTTCGAATCACGATCCAATATTGTCCAGTCATTTTTTGGATTTTATCCGTCACTGTCCCAAGGGTGCCTATAACTGCAGGAACGACGAATTTTTGAAGTCTCCAGCAGCGTGCTATCTCGTGTTTCAAATCTTTACGCATTTCCTTCTTTTCTCACTCAATAACCCTTACGTCCCCTGGTTCCTCTGCTATTATTATTATTATTATTACTATTATTATTATTATTTCTTTTCTCACGTTTAATATATTGTCTATCTAGTTTCACTTGTCTGCCTTCTGTCCTTCATTACGCTTTATTTTTCAAGCACAGTATTTCAAGATATTATATAATATTCTATATATTATTCTTTCTCACTATCATTTTTTTATTTTCATACAACACATGCTTTTAAAGAGCATTTTTAAACAAATTCCGTTTTTGTTTTTAATTAAATAATTTTCTGTTGAATTGTTTTATCTGTAAAAGAAACATTTGAAAGGTCTAGAATAAAAGAGATGCAACGTGATGTGAATGCATTTGGACAAATGTCCTCACTCCTCCATTTCAAATAAGGAAGACTAATTCTCTTTTGTCAAGTCTTTAATCGTGACAACTGCATCCTGCTGATTTACAGGAGGACAGGCTTTGGTTTGATTCCAATTTTCCTTCAAGGCGTTAACCGGAAACAATAAAAAATACTCAAGCAGATTTTGAAAACAGAAAGAAAAAAAATGAATCTATTTTGCAGCAGCACATGACAAGAACTCTAAATTTAGAGACAAATATGTGGGGAAAATATGCCATCCATAATGTGTTAATGTTCGGGATTTTTTCAGAAGTAATGAGTTTGAATTTGAAGACCATAAATTCTCTGAGTCAGAATTATCGGAAGAGGGTTTTATACGATTTCTTTTGGACTTCTACAAATTTCCAACCTAATTATTCCGCCTCGACCCCAAAACAATAACAAATACAGCGATTAACTTGGTAGTAGGGAGCGCGCTTGATTTTTCCGGGTTTTAGGTGAAAGAGCCAGAATTTTATACGGCAAATGATAAGAAGATAAAGACAGAGAAGACAGAAACAAGTAAATGTGGACGGGAAACGGGGGGGGATATCAAAAGCAATTTAGGAAATTAAACCAAACTGGTCAAGTTTTATTTCTTTACAAACTAAATTATTTCACTCTCACAGAAAACATCCAACACTAGACATAACTAGACATATGTGAAAACACCCACTAGACGTACAAACGTACACACAGAAATACAAACACACACACACATACTCATATTATTAACCAAAACTCGTAGAGACCAACTAAAACTGTGATACAGAAACGCACATGAATTACACACAAACGCTGCTTGACAGGACAAATACACATGAGATCTGCTTAACCAATGAAAAACAAACAACGCAAAAATAAAAATAAAAACCCTTAATGTTCTTTTCTCTTTCATATTTCATTTTCTGATGAAGCTTAAATAAAAGCGATATATGTTACGTTTTCTATTTGTTCCTTATCATTCTATCGGATTCTAATCCATACTTGATCCCAATTCACATTCATGTATACTTTTAAAATGTTCAATTCTTTGAAAGAAAACAAATATCCGGGCCAGAGCATTATAAATAAACAAATTAACATAAATGTTAATTGCGTTTCTTTTTAATCGAATCGTTACCAATTTCATTGTCACAATTCTTGGGCAACACCGGAATCCCTGCTAGCAAATATTCGTTCTAAAATTGTCTCGACAGTTACTCCAAGATGATTCATAGATTCCACATTTGATTCTAAGCCGACCACCATCTTGCAGCACGCAAATTCATTTGGTGTGTTTAAAGAACAGATTTGTTTTATATACTGCAAAATAGAGTCTTTTTAGGCTTTAAAACTACATTTCGCGAATAATTCATTGATTTTCCTAGGATATTATATTTTACGTCAGACTATAAACACCATGAA